ACAGATGTGAAAACAAAAACGGCCCAACAGCCCAAGACCGGCAGAAGATTGCCGAGAGGGCTTGGCGATACTGCCCGTACCGGCCTAGCGCAGCGCCAGCTGACACCTGGGGCTTGCTACCGTACTAGCTGCCTGCCTGCGGCGAAAGGGCTTTCCGTTTCCAGGGCCGTAAAACTGCTGGGGGATGTGCTCGGGGATGTGTTCATGTGCTGTAACCTGCGCCAGGGCAGGGGTGCTTTTGGTTCTGCAACGTCGTGGTATCGAAGCGTATCATGGTCGTCATTGGCAAGAAGCAAAGAGGCCGCCTTCTCGCGTTTCTCGTCTAATTCTAATTTGCAACTGCCATGTACCATGCCGTTGCACACATATACTGACAGAGAGATTGTTATTTCCGCTCCAGCCGCCGTCGTCCTACTGTGTCCACGCAGGATGACACCTTTCGAGTGGTACAACACAGGCTAGGGCTAAAAGAGCGCTTTGTATTTAACTTCTTTCGATCAGATAGCATGCCACTGCATGCCAAGGTGGGTGCGTGGCAATCGCGATTAGGTCAAAAGTGCGGCGAGAAACCTAAAGTAATATCATCACAGCGAAGATAAGCTAAACAGAAAGCTTTTATTCTAACTATGCCAGTGTTTTGGGCTCCTTTCCCTGCATAGTACTTGCCGTCACCGCTATTGATGGTTCTTTTCCGGTAAAGGTGTTTTTCGGCCAGAAGCAGTTGAATAAAAATGGCAGAGAGGAGGATTGCCAGAAGTTTTGCCTAGCAACACAGTACCCAGGTGCCAGGCAGAAACGCGACAAACGGCAAACGGCACGGTGCAGCGGGTCCAGTTCCCTAAAGACTTCCGCTAAAAAGTCACAACGTTGGCTCTGCCCCCCACCCCCCACATCCCCCAAGGCCCCATCGCCTGGTCAAGATTTTTACCCACTGCAGCAACACCGTCAAACGACTCAATTACTGAATGCCACAAATCATCATCCTCATCCAAAGCCCACTCCTTGCGTCGCTAAATGAGCGATCCTCCTGGTAAAATTTAGTTTACTCTACCAAGATCCCCCCGCAGCTTCTCTCCCCCCACCAACTTGTCCAGGTAGTCCAGTCCTACTCCGCGGAAAACAATGCCGTCAAAGCCTTTTTCCGGATCATGTCCGTTGCTGCTGGACGCGTTTGCCCCAGTTGTCTGCCACAGCTCTCTTCTGTATCCGTATACTACCTAGGTATTCTCTAATCCGATTTTTTTTTTCAGCTTGCCTTGCTGCTACCATGCTGCCCACCTAAGTTAGTACTTGCTAAGCAGCCTCGTCGCCAGCTGCCCTCGTCTACTCCATAGCATCTTCCCCAACTTCCGGCTACTTTTATCCTGCCCTCCCCGCCCACACTCGACACTGCAAATTTCCTTTTCTCTTTTCCTCTTGCCTCCTTCACGATTGTCTGGGTAACCTTGCCTATCGGTTTATACATTTCTAGCAAAAAACCCATTTGCTGCCATCCGCAGCTTTGATCACCAGTCATGGGTCATCACGATGTCATGGCCAGCCGGGAACCTGGCGCCAGCTCTCCTCACGAGGGCATGTCGGCTGGCACCTATCTCAAAACGCGCCTCACCACCCTTCGCCCTGCCATGCTCGACCTCCCCAACCCCATCCGTCTTTTGCGCCTGCTCAACGCCCAACAATGGGCCTTTTTCTTCATCGCGTTTGTCGCCTGGGTAAGCCATGGATACAACGCAGCCGCCGTGACGAGTTGCGCTCCGTGCTAATTGTCTCTGCAGACCTGGGATGCGTTTGACTTTTTCACAGTCTCCCTCACCGTCACCGACTTGGCTGAGCAGTTTGGCAAGACAAAGACCGACATTACCTGGGGCATTACCCTCGTCCTCATGTTCCGCTCCGTCGGCTCCATCACATTTGGCATTGCGAGTGACCGCTACGGCCGCAAGTGGCCCTTTGTCGTCAACAACTTGCTCTTCATTATCCTGGAACTGGTAAGCCTGACTCCGAAATCTGTCAATTTTAGTCATGTCATCTTTTTATCCTCGGCTCAATCAATATACTCGTGCCTGCATCTCCCCATGCCACATGCTTACGCTGGTGCGGGTCGCCTTGACAGCATGGCGTCAACGGCCGGCTTGGCAACGAGCAACGATCTCTTGGCTTTGCCCTTGTGGCTAACAATGCGACGCCACGGCTCCGATTCGGCGGTTTCCCCCGCGCCCGTACAATTTCGCTGACACTTGGCGCAACACTTTAGGGAACCGGTTTTTGCCAGACCTATCCTCAATTTTTAGCTTGCCGCGCCCTTTTCGGCGTCGCCATGGGCGGACTTTACGGAAACGCTGCCGCCACCGCTCTGGAAGACTGCCCTGAAGAGGCTCGTGGTCTGATTAGTGGTATGCTGCAGCAAGGTGTAAGTCAACACGCCCAACATGTCACGAAATTTGTCGTGGTATTTTTTTTCTCAACCATACATTTACTTACGAAACATCTAGTATGCATTCGGCTACCTCCTATGCGCCGCCTTTGCCCGCGGCCTCGTCAACACCACATCGCACGGCTGGCGACCGCTGTACTGGTTCGGTGCCGGTCCTCCCGTGCTCTTCATCATTTTCCGTCTGATGCTGCCCGAGACGTCCGTCTACCTCGAGCGTGAGCGCGTCCGCGAAGAGGCCAAGCGCAACGGGACCGCCGGCGCCGCCTCGGTCGGCTCCGTCTTCCTCAAAGAGGGTAAGATTGCCATTCGCAAGCACTGGCTCCTCCTCACCTACCTCGTCCTCCTTATGGCTGGCTTCAACTTTATGAGCCACGGCAGTCAGGACCTGTACCCGACCATGCTGGAGAACCAGCTCTCCTTCAGCCCCGACAAGGTCACCGTCACCCAGGTCGTCGCCAATCTCGGCGCCATGACGGGCGGCACCGTCGTCGGCTTTCTCAGTCAGTCGGTGGGTCGCCGCATCAGCATCATTGTCTGCTGCGTCTGCGGCGGTGCCCTGCTCTACCCCTACACCTTTGTGCGCTCAACTTCGATCATGGCCGCCGCTTTTTTCCAGCAATTCTTTGTGCAGGGCGCGTGGGGCGTCATCCCCATCCACCTCATGGAGCTGTCCCCCGGCGCGTTCCGCACCTTTGTCGTCGGCACCTCGTACCAGCTGGGCAACCTTGTCTCGTCGGCCTCGTCCACGATCGAGTCGCGCATCGGCGAGCAGTTCCCCCTGCCGCCGACGGCGTCGGGCAAGTCGCGCTACAACTACGGCCTCGTCATCTGCATCTTCATGGGCTGCGTCTACGCCTACACCATGTTACTCACGTTCCTCGGCCCCGAGCACCTGCGTCGCAGCTTTGACGTGGTGCACGACCACGATGCCCAGGAGGCGGTCGGGTGGGATGCCGTCGCTGCCGCCCACGAACGCCGAGCCAGCAACAGCGACGACAAGTTTACTGCTCTTCGCAAAGGTGAGCACGACGAGGGCTTGCTTGCCAAGGAGGCGGATAACCGGGTATGAGGGTTTCGATATGTACAGTTACAGTTGCCCATAGCGTTTGCTATATGATGACATGTGAAATGAATCTACGAGCCAATGATTTGAAGAATAATGATGTTTTTTGTTTTGAAGTGCAAGTCCACTTGATAGACTTGATGTGCATTGACAGATGCACAGACGTTGAATGCAACGTCAATTGTGGTTCCTATCTTGCCATCTCAGCCGCACGATGAAACTCAGATAGCCGGCCTAACCGTAAGATGAATCGACAAATGACAAGAGATGATTCGCTCCCGAAAAAAAAAAAAAAAAATAAAACCGGATGCCATGGGAAAGCAAAGCCAAATAAACAAAGAAGAAAAAAACACGTCAGGCCGAAAAGTCCATCCCTCTCTCTCCCTCTCTAGCGAAACACTTGTTCCTTCTTTTTGCCGATTTTAATCACGGCGCCCGCTGTGCTTCTTAAACTTGTGCTCTATGAAATTCGCACCAATCGCGCCCGCAATCGCCGCGCCCGTCGACCCAAAGAAGCCCGCGCCGGCCTTGTGCGCCGCATACGCGGCGCCTCCGCCGCCGACGAGCGTGGCGCCGAGGCCCTTTTCGCCGTTGGGTCCGTCAGGACCAGGAGGGCCGTTGTTGTTGTTGGGGCCGCCATAGGGAGCGCCGCCGCCCTGGTTATGATTCTGACCATTATTGTAATTATTGTTGTTGTTGTCGTATTGGGGCTGCGAGCTGCCGCCGTACGGCGCGCCCGAGTTGTAGCCCGGCGCGGGGGAGTGCCCCCGGTTATCGTAGGACTGCTGTTGCGGGGCGTAGCTGGGCTGGGACTGGCCGTATGCGCCGGGCGGTGCGCTGCTGTTGTAGCCGCCGCCGTTGTTGCTGTGTTGCTGCGAGCCAGAGGCGTACTGGGCTTGTTGGGGGTAGCCACCGCCGCCGTTGTTGTTGTAGCCTTGGTTGTAGTTGGGCTGGCCACCGTAGGGAGCGCCGCCGCTGTTACCGTAGTAGTCTTGGTTGGACATGGTGTGTATGTGTGTGTTTTGTGTGTGTGTGTATGTGTGTGATGTGTTTATGTTTGTCTGGGAGGTGTTTGGTTTTGAATATCGGTGATTCAAATTTGCTTGGATATATCGAATGCAAAAGGATTAGAAAAGGGATAAGAATGTGGGAGGAGGGGGAGAATAAATAAGCAGCGTGATTAAGAATGACGATGACATTCCCATGTAAGCTCCGTGACCAAAGGCGAATAAGCCCAAAGGTGGCAGCGCTCGTGGTGGCGCAGCACAGAATTGCGGCATCGTCAAGAGGCTTGGCTACCCCACTCCGCGGGGAACAAAACTGGCTGCCGATGAGCCTCAACACTCCTTGGAATCATGAGTTGCTACCTAATATACGGTCTAACACTTCTAAAAGTAAAAGATGATTAGTAATGAAGATGCAAGCAGAGTCTGTGACAGAGTTGATAAGAACTGACATAACTAAAATGATTACCGTTCTGCTATAACGAGCCTTTTGACTTTATGCGCGGTCGGTTTTTGTTTCTCACACGTGCCCATTCAGCAGGGACGCACCGCCCCGAAACCGACGTAGTGTGGCGCAGCGTATGCCCCCATCAGGCACACACGCAGGGCCAAGCCTTGCTGCACCGGCGTTTCCGTCTGACCTGGACCCTGTGAACGATTTTTCTTCGTTTGGTGTTGGCGCAAAGGGGGTATCCATTTATGGGAAGGGGTGCACAATTCGGCTTCTCTGGTGACGTAAAGGCGGAAAGAGGTTCATGTAGGTCGAGGTAGGGCAGATGGAGGATTGAATACGCCGAATAACCCTGCAAGCATACAATACTACTGGACGCAATATGGATCAGCTAAAACGGATGTCAAAAACCCCCAGATTTTATGCAATGACTTTCTTTCTAGCGCGTTTCACTCACAAGTTGCAGAAGACGCACGCTTTTTTGTTTGTAGCCATTTGTGTGTCTTGATTCGCAGCTAATTATGACGTAGCAAATCTCTTGTTACACAGTTGCACCTTGCCAGAGTAATCACTGTTTGACTGCTTACAAATTTCCCAAAGACCCTCAAGACCCATCGACAGCCGGCCAAAACGCCGCCTCCGCCTCCAGCACCGCCCTCCACATCACCATCCCTCTCCGCCGCAGCGCCTCCTGCGCGTCCTCGCCCTGCGCCCTTACCGCGCCGTCAATCACCGCGGCCAACCTCTCCACAAACGCCGCAAACTCGGCGCTGGTCCAGTTGTCGATAAACGCCCGCCTCACCGCGCCGCCATCCTCATCCTCCGCGCCGTCTTTCGCGCCGTCCATCTGCGAGGCCGCCCACGTCCACGCATCCAGGTAGCACCGCTCCGTCGCGTAAAACAGCACTGCGGCCTCGAGCCACGGCAGCGGCCCCTCGTCCGTGGATGACTGCAGCCCGTCGAAAAGCGCCTCGAAGCGCCGCAGCCCGTCGAGCTTGGCCGCGGCCGGCACGCGGCCGGTGGTGGCATCAATGGGTAAGTTGACGTCCAAGCCGTACTGCGCGGCGGTGGAGAGGAAGAAGCGGGATTCGCGCTGGATATTGACGAGCGCGTCGACGACCCACGCGAGTAGAGCCTCGGCGGCATCGTCATCGTCATCGTCGTCGTTGTCGTTGTCGTTGTCGTTGCGGTCCTCGTGTGAGACTGCTTCGGGGAGGCGCAGAAACGACAAGAGGCGCCCAGCCGCGCGTATGTACCCGTGAATGTAGAGACGGTCGTTGGCGAGCCAGCGGCCGAGCAGCGCCTTGGAGAGCGTGCCCGCGGCGGCGCGCTGCAGAAAGGGAGACTGCGTGGCGCGCTGGTGGCCTGCGGGGTCCGAGGCGATGAGCGTCTGCGTAAAGGACGACATTGGCTGCAGAGCCGCGCTCTTTGATGATGTAGAGGTAAAAGCTGGTCCCTCTATTATTTTAAAAGATACACCTTTGCTTAATGAAAGCAAATGTAGCTGGCGAAGCGTGCTGAGGCCTATTGATAACTGTAGATGCGTAGTGCAAACGGACTGTGGAGGGAGCTAAACTCTGCTGTTGGTGAGGTTGCATTTTACATCTCGGTCGGCGCGTGCTCTCCTGGAGCGATATCGAGATACATCTTTTTTGGCCATTTCTATTTACCATGTGTCTCAAAAAGAGTGAGGCTGCTTCTGAAAATTTCAGTCTATAGCAATCCCGCCAACACATCTCCCGCAGCCTGGATTCCTCCACCTCCTTTGTCAACCTTGGCATCGCCGGAGTTGTCTTGCCGCCCTCTTCTCCAAGATCATCACTACCACCCGCCACAACACCAATACCACGTCCGGCGCCCCAAGTATAGGATTTCTTTTCCCATATCCTCAGGCTCTCTTCGGGGCGCCGCTTGTGAAAAAAGCTATAAGCCCTACTTCTAAGCGAAAGCTTCTCAAACACAGACATTAAATGCCGACAGACGTCTAGCCTACTATCGGGTGCTGCCGCTGCCGAGGCCAAGCTACGGGAGCTCCTGCGCAATGAACGCACAAACTCATCGTAGCACGCCTACTCTCTTGAATCAGATGGCTCAGTCGACTGAATAACAGGTAGAAAGACTGAGCAGCTTGTCTGGATGGCTTTCTATCCAGCGAGCAGACAGTCGTTACTATCAGTCCTTGCTGAGTCAATGTTTCCTAGCGTTTCGTAGTGAGATAAATTCCCCATGATCAATAATTATAGATGACGAGAATTGATTTGCATTTCCGGGCCTCGGGCCAAGATCATGGTCCAATGCTACGCCCACACACGACTCACACTCTGGCTCCGCCGTGTCAGAGTCATGAGGCACATAAGCATCTATACAGCCTTGTCTCCAGGTTTGATCAGCTTCCACGGCATCAGTTCCTGCCACTAAGTCGCAGCGTCGTCATCATCCGCTCCGGCAGCAAGAAGTAGCTCTACTATCTTAAGATGGCCACGGTCAGACGCCACTTGTAGAGCCGTCCGTCCTCCAATTCTAGAGGCCGCGGTATTAACATCAGCTCCGGCATGGAGCAAACGTTTTACTACCTCAATATGGCCACTGCCAGAGGCCGCCTGTAGGGCTGTGACTCCTCGCAGAAACGCGGGAGTAGCATTAACCCACGCTCCGACACCGAGCAGAAAATCAACTACCTGGAGATAACCACCGCTAGACGCCGCCTGTAGGGCTGTGAGTCCTTCAACCACAGCGCCGGGAGCATTAACGTCCGCTCCGGCATAAAGCAAACGTTCTACTACCGTAACATGGCCACCGCTAGACGCCGCCTGTAGGGCTGTGAGTCCTTCGAGAGGAGCGGCATCGGCATTAACGTCTGCTCCGGCGCCGAGCAGAAAATCAACCACCTGAAGATGACCATGCTTAGACGCTATCTGTAGGGCTGTGAGTCCCTCGTTTTCTAATCCAGAAGCATCAGCGTCCGCTCTGGCAATGAGTAGCCGCTCGACCACCTCAAGATGGCCGCTCAGAACTCTATCAAGATGGTCATCCACCACTCCCTCGAGATGGCCACTGCTAGACACCTCCTGCAAGGCTCTGAGTTGCTTGACTTCAGCGGTAGCAGCATTCACGTCCGCTCCGGCATCAATTAGTCGCTCGACCACCTCTAGATGACCAGCGCCACACGCCGCTTGTAAGGCCGTCTGTCCGGAATGCTTAGTGACAGCAGTATTCACGTCCGCCCCAGCACCAAGTAGTCGCTCTACTACCTCAAGGTGGCCACCACCACACGCCGCCTGCAGGGCTGTCTGCCCTCTATACTCATCAGCAGCGGCGTTGGCATCTGCCCCTACACCAAGAAGCTGATCAACTACCTTTGCATGGCCGCCTTCAGACACTTTTGGAAGCAACATATCAAAGTAGCTAATTGACCCTGTACAAGTTTCAAGGAAAATAGCAACGGCCTTGCTATCACCTCGTGTTGCAGAGATTTTCAACAGATGATATATTTCCCCCAGTTCGTACTGTCGCTCGAAATTTAATGCGTGGCGAAGGAGTGCGTAGTGGCGTGTTTTGTGACTCCAGACAAGTAGTCCTTGTCTATCCCATGGTATTCGCGCCAAGCTGGAACAGCCCGAAACAAGTAGAAGCCACAGGTCCCAAATGATGCATTGTTTCTCTTCAAAGTGAACAGTATGGGTTACCCAGTGCGTTGCTGCGTATTGAAGAAACGGATGGCTGTTCTGAAGCGTTTCCTTGCCTATATCATGAGACTTTCCATACTTGGCTTCAATTCTGCTGAAATCTGGGTCTGCCATTGTTTTGCGGCGCCTGGAGGCAAAGTGGGTGACGACTTCTGAAATACGCGCCATGTTCGTCTCTCGGCTAAGAGCTGTAACGGCTAATCTCACAGGATTTAGCTGCACTGGCTTTTGTCGTCGGGCTATTGTCGTCGTAAAATCGCTAAAGTGTAGGTACGTAACGCATATTTCGCCGGCAAAATGGTCCGTCTCTCTCAGATCAACATGGAAACGAAAGAGCTGTCCCGGTAGAGTTGCTCTTGTTATAAAATCGCGGACGCTAGCATGAGCGAATTGGACTTGTGCAGGTTCCTCGTCTGTAAGATGAAGAAGATTCTCGCACCACAACAAAATGCGGTTCATGTGATGAGGCAAGCGCTCGGGCCGAGAATGCGTCTGTCCGACATCAATAGAGACAGCTTCACGGAGCTCGTCCAATGTTAGTGGCCGTCGCGCTACCGCTACCCATCGAAATGTTCTCTGTACCAATTCGACATGTTTCGCTCGGGACAAGATACGTAGTAATGCTCGCTTGAATGTTTCTTCCAGATCTTTCGGCAGTTGGCGCAAAGATCGCCGAATATCATCGTCGCAGCTTCCAGCGCAGATTTCGTCAATCAGAAAAGTAACCCAGAGAAACCTTATCGAATTGATTAACAAAGACTCTTTCTCACTCTTATGAAGCAAGTACTTACATTCCGTCCGCATGTTGAGTTAGCGCATCATTTACTTCGACCAGTAGATGGGCATCGCCGAATACTAACTCTTCATTCTGTAGCCGTTTTTGAAGAGATGTGTCAATGTATGAGCGAATGTCGGACATGAGGCTGTCACACGACATAGAAACACGACTCATGGGAAGAGATCTGCCTCGCAGGTCCAGGTCAACGCTTTCACGGCTGGAAATAAAAATTCTCAAGCATGATGCCGTAGCGGCAAGTAACGAGAGCGCATCGAAAACAGCCTGTCGCTCAGCTGCGTCACACTCGTCAAGACCATCTATTAGGATATAAAAAGCAGTTGATTGCTGAACGACGTATCGAAGTAAGTCGATCCATGCGTCAAGCTGGACAAAAACAGCGTGATCCAGGTTTGTGAGCCGGCTCTCGAGATACTGCGGTACTTCTGTGGAGTCTATAGACTGTCGGATGATCGATCGAATCAGTGTCTCGGCTTGAAGAGATTCGGCGTTGTCACGATCCACAAAGAAGAATGTGGCGGTGTCATGGCGGCCTTTGTGCAAGAAGACATGATTGACAACATTAGCACTGAGTCATGTCAGCAACTGGGCTTGAATTCTAGCGTAAGATGGATCGCCAACCATAGGACGGTCTTTCCAGATCCAACTTGCCGTACGTTAGCGGGCGAAATTGATGGTTTCGAGATGACATACTTTTTCCGGAGCACCAGAGGAGAGACGGCCCGCTTCCGTCATACCAGCGCTTGAATTCCGGGACCGCGAAGATCCATTCCGCCGTATCGCGTTGGCGCTTTTTGCAGGCTTCCCAGAATGGAGTGCGGTACTCGTGGGAAGAGAGTGACTCGAGAAGTCGCTGCCTTTCCTCTTCTATTGGAAAACTCAGTCAATGACTCGCTGAGCCGTGAAGCCAACTTACTGGCTTTTCGCCTTAACTGTTGCTCATGCATCTCCTTGATCGCACTAATGTCATGTTCCATTCTCGGAAGGAATTTCCACATTTTTGATCTGTCCCGGAAAGCTGCTCGTCTTTCCCTCGCCTGAAGCTCTTCATCTTCGTGTTGTGCACGTGCTGTTGCCAAGGATATTTCCTCCTTCACTTCCTCGCCCATCTGTTGTACGGCTCGCACGTCTTCTTGCATCTCTTCCTGAAAAGATTTAAAGATGGCGTGTTTCAGATGCTGCTTCCCTGCTGAACATTAGCGATAGTACGAACAAGAGACCGGGACGACAGTACATGACCGTTGAAGTACCTTGACTACATGTTTGCAGCAACGGATGATGGACGCATGGAAATCGCAAAGAGCCCCTTGCAGGCGCGTAGAGGCCGGATACAGAGCTTGATATTCAGCAAAGCGGGGACATTGTCTGCCGACTGTCATGAAAATGCTAGAGAGGGCCTCAAAATACGAGACAAAGTTTACCGCAATCTATACTTGTCAGCGCGTGACAAAGTGCGCGCAGACGCCGCACCTACAAGCATGGTGAGCTTGACGCTACCCCAAACCAAGGCCGCTATCTCTGGGTGTGACGAGACAAACGTCCCGACCACGCCAGCGAATGCCTGCACAGATTCAAGGACGGTAGAAAGACGGTTAGAGACACCAGGACGACCTGCCAATCGATTCTCGTGCTCGAGCTGGGCGGTGAATATCATGACGCTTTGCGCATCACGGATGCTACCGATGGTGCGTAATTTGTGACGTTGTCCGTCCGTCAATATGCTCTGGAAATCTTGAATAGCAACTTGCAAAGAGGCTTGTGGATTAGGGCAAGTCCCAGCGGAAGAGGATGGCGCCGCTATCTCCATCATTTCGGGGCCATCCGCCATGGAGCCTTTTCGGAAACGGTCTTGAGCGGGGTGTCGGGGGGAGGTTTTGCCTCGCTTTCAGCAGACTATGTAGGAAGGGGGTGGTTATGTAAGCGAAAGTTGTTCAAAAGGATTATGCCGCTGGGTTTTGGCGCGACTTGCTTGTCTTGCAGGTGTCTGGCGATGCGAATCGCGATGGCCCAAGGATGACGAGGTGCACACCTTGGTCAGGACCGTCCCAGCCTGGTCTTACCTGTATTAGGCTATTACACTCACACCATCAGGTGTGAGCATTGTGCGCTTGAATCATTTGACTTCTGGAAGATTAGAGATTACCTTTTTTCCACGGTAGGTCTGTCGTAGGTAGGCCTCGATCAGCCTCAGCAGCACGGGTACTTTTGTGGGCAGCAGCTGTATCGGCAGGATCAACAGCACTATCCTCTTGACTGAAAACAAGGAACAACCTGATATTTACGGAGCCTCCGCCAGATTGGGCACAGAACTAGCGGATAATTTTTATCCGAGATACCAATAGCCACTATAAGAAGTATTCCCAGATATTCGCCTGCGCCACAGTACGTCCTGGCACAGCTGGATTACCCGTCAAGATGAAGTACCTCCCTTCTTCTGACTGTCAGATTATCTAGCCCGACTTCCTGCGCTTTACCCTCCAGCTTCGTCTCAACAGTCAAACAAAAAGTGCTTGTTCCATTGCTCTGCCTCGACTCAAAGCCTCGTCCGCTATTTGTGACTTGAATCGAACAGCAGTGTATACATGACAACAAATTATTCGCATGAATATCGCTGAGGGTCTGTACTGGGATTAGTATTGAGTAAAGTCTGTATTTATCTAACAATCGCACCTCAACAACAATGGCGTGAGACCGTGCCAAGATGGTACATATCGGGTTAGCAATGTGCCCGCGCTGCCACGAGATGCGACAGGTAATATAGCTTGTTCAGCTATGTAGGTAGCTGCACCCGTCAAACGCCATGTTTGCCATTGTAGAGTCGTCGCTAATCTATGTATCAGCGCTAGAAAATAATGATCCCCTCTTCTTTTTCAGCTTTTTCCTAGCAGTCCATAATTGATAACCTTCTGGCGATGTTTTGTATCAAGTCCATGGATTCTATGCCTCTCTATTTTGTCGCATGTCTCTTTGAGTTAATGTCCTCTATTTGGCCCTTTTCCAACCCATCAAACATCAATATCTGTCTATGCCTTGGGGATGACAATGCCGTAGCGCTCGTAGGGGAAATCCTCTAGCGTCTCGAGGTACTCGGCCCAGCCGTCGTCCACCTCGCCCAGCTGGTGCAGGTCGACGTCGCCGGCCTCGCCCGTGCGCCCAGCCAGGACCTGCGCCTCGCGGCCCGCGTACTCCTTCTTGAGCATCTTATGCGGGCACCAGATGACACGCATGCCCGCCCGGCGACCAGCCTCCACACCGGGCACCGAGTCCTCAAAGACGAGACACTCCTCCGGCGTGATGGGCTTTTCCCCGGCAGGTAGTGAGTCGTTGATGGTCTTCAGCGCCAGCAGGAAGATGTCGGGCAGGGGCTTGCCGCGGTCGGGCTGCAGACGCGTGTCGTCGCCCTTGACGCGGCGCTCCTCGGGAAACACGGAGAAGAGGTCCTGCAGGTGCGTCGTCTTGAGATCAAAATTTCTGCGGTGCGAGCTTGTGGCGAGCGCAATGTGTACAGTGTGCGGCTTCCCCACGGCGTCGGCTGACGGCGCGCCGGCCCCTTTTGTCGCATCGAGCTGCTTCAAGAGCGCGGGGACTCCGGGCAGGGGCTTGGCGGTGCCGAATAATTGCTCCTGAAAGACGGAGAGCTGCGCCTTGTACTCTTCCGTAGAGATGGGCAGCTGAGCCCAGTCGCTAAAGATCTGGTTGGCCGCGGGGCCGGGTCGGCCTTGCAACCGTGCCTTGACTGACCACGGCATTGGCGACCGGCCGTACTTTTCCAGCACCATGTTGACGCACAACGTGTACAGGTCCTCGGTGTCGAGGAGCAGGCCGTCCATGTCAAACAGGCAGGCCCGCACGGGAGGGAAGCTGGGACAGGTGGTAAACAGCGTTAGCGTGCGCACGCTCACTCAAGCATCGTCGTGACGGGCGCGCGTCGGAGAAACGTACTCGGTCTTGGGAGCCATGACGAGTGTGAAGAATATTGGAGAAAACAAAAATTCAGCGAATCGTTGCACAAACGTGTAAAGAAGAGTAAAGTAAAGCGATGACTGTTCGGAAAAAATCCCAGTTGCGCGGGGTGGTGGGGTGGGTGGCTCGATCCACCTGCATTGTTGCCCAAGGACAACGAAACGCGACCCCTACATCACCAGGCACAGGCATAGACTACGCCTTTCGCCTATCGTCGTAGAAGTCGCCTCATTTTATACAGTACAGGGTCTGATTGATGGCGTCTGATGGGACTCTGGGTGCGACCTCGCCACCAAATGCCGGCGTGAATCCGGCCGGCGAATCAGATGAAGCTACCCAGGCACGATTCTCTCCCGATGAGGAAAAGGTGTGTCATCGATGTGCAGAATCTTGCTGATCATTTCGCCATATTGACACATCGTGTTAGGCACTATTGAACGAATCGGCAGAGAAGAAAGCTAGAGCCAACGAGCTCTTCAACTCTGGTGATTCCGAGGCAGCGCTCGTTCAATACGACGACGCCTTGTCATCATGTCCTGATTACAAACACTTTGAGCGAGCCGTTATCCACAGCAACATATCAGCGTGCCAACTGAAGCTTGAGGAGTGGACGGCAGCCGCCAAAGCGGCGACTAGCTCTTTGGACGCGCTCTTGGCTATGGAGCGCGAATTAGGGCTAATTCCTGAAGCCAAGCCAGAGCCCACAAAGAGCAAGGAGAAGGGCAAGAATGACATTGAGGACAAGGAGATCGACATTGCAAGCAGCTCGACCAAAAAGATTGAGGAAAACGAAGCGACCAACTCGGGGCCGGCAGAGCCCCCTTTCACACCTGCTGATGTCCCAGAGGCCACCAAGAGCGACATCAAGCGCATACGAATAAAGGCGCTCCTGCGGCGAGGGCGTGCACGTGCAGAGGCTGGAGGCTGGTCTAATCTTGCCAGCGCAGAGGAAGATTACAAGACGCTGTCGAAGATGTCCGGTCTCACGGCGGCCGACGCCAAGACGGTGCACATGCAGCTGGTAGTACTGCCGCCCAAAGTCAAGGCTGCGCAGGAAAAGGAAATGTCGGAGATGTGGGGGAAGCTTCGTACGCTAGGAGATGGCATACTCAAGCCGTTTGGTCTCAGCACCAACAACTTCCAAATGGTCAAGGATGAGGCCACAGGCGGCTACAGTATGAACTTTCAGGGCAATCAAGGGTCATGACATCGACAGCCTTGTGAGCTAAGGGAGAAGGGTCAATAAACTGTGCATATAAACGTTAGACATTGTTTATATCTTCACGAGGCTATTTTTCTCCATTGTCTATAATACAAGATACAAGCAATTGCCATCCCGCTCACAGGTGCATGGCGGCGGCAGCGGCGGCAGCGGCGGCAGCACCGCCGAGAGAACGCGCAATGCGGCCTGTAGGCACAGAAGCACGATTTTTGACGGGAGCGGCGGCGTTCTTGACCTGCTGAGACGGGGTCGCAGCTGCGGAATCGTCGTCGCTGGTGGCGTCACCGGTGGCCTGGGCCTTGGGAGCGCCAACACCGAGGATGTCTGCGAGGGCTTTGGTGGCCTGCGGCAGGTCTGACGCGGTGGTGCTCTCGACCTCCCAAACGCCGCAGAGTATGCCCGCTGCAGAATCGTAGTCTAATTTGGTCGCAGATTAGCATGCTGATGAAAATGTTTGGTGGCGTCGACACCCACCGGCAGCACAGGAATGGTCGACTTCGGCATAGACGCGGCCGTCAATGTCAAGGTAGTTGTCGCAGATGCAGTCAAAGTCTTTGGCGTTGGCGTTTTCGAGGTTGCAGCCCTGGTCCTTCATGCCGATTTTCATGGCCGCAACGGCGCATTGGGGAAGTTCCTTGGTATACTCGGTCAGGCTCTTGACGTAGTGGGCGGAGGAGGCACCGGCAAGGGCGATGGAGAGGATGACGGAGAGCTTCATTATGGGCAGGGAAAGTAAACAATTGCTGCAGGGCTTATCGAAGTTGCTGGTGTTGTCTAGTAGCCAGAGTTTTTTGAGTCCACAGGAGAGCGAGAAATCGAATCGACTCTTTATACAACGAACTGCATGGGCGGGTTACCGAATAGAGACATGACGTCTCACCAGCTTACCATCTGATCACCGGGTTCAGCGCTGAGAAGATATGGTATGACAGGCCCAATTGACTTCTGATGACAGACTCAGTCTATCGATAGTTCTCTCATTTCGCTCACGGCACACACCCGTGCCGCGCGCACATACGTCGGAGCCACGAGAAGATGCAGACTTCTTTCAGGGAGAGCAGTGACTGCAACCTCGGCACTGCAATCACACTTTCAGCGCGTAACGTATGGTCTCTGTTCCTGCATGATTTGGTTTTCTCGCTGCCGATTCTATACTCAACTACGTGCATCCTGTTTCCCTAAATAGGCAATGCAGCCAACTGATCGTCGTCTTACTATAAGCCCCGCCCCGTGCCTGGGTTACTCTCCGTTGCGCCTGAATCTCACTCGGACCTTCGCATGAAAGAAGCTTAACTCTGCCCGACTCTGACCACCCGGAAACCAGGATTATGAAACACTTTGCGTGGTCCAGTTTACGGGGTTTTGCTTAATCCCGCGACGACGAATCCCGGCCCGAGAGGTGACCACGGCAAGACAAGGACCAGTGGCCCGGAGAGATTACGGGAGGTTGTGACAAGAATCAAATCGTGGAAATATACAAGAGTAGGAAGAATCGAAGTTCCGGAGATACCCGTACATCCTGGGATACTCGTGGCTTTCACGTACGTACTTGTTCACGGGCTGGTCGAAGGACTTGAGCATTGATGCAACAAAGCGACCGATTTGAACCCGCGCGCAACTCACATCGCATCTTATTATGGTGATAGTACCACAGCGCCATTATCTGTTATACCGAATATACAAAATCTATCACTTCGCCCATTGGGCGCTGCTATTTTGGCAAGCCCACGCTGACTTTTTTGCACTCAACTAGCAGATTGTTACTACAGCCACGGTCGACACACATGTTTACGCTCAAATGTAGATCACGAATGCCGTCTTTTCTGTCCTCTCACAAAGCTCACCAATTCCTTGAATTTCTCGTCATGACAAGCACATGATCCCCAACACACGCAAGCACAGTACGCATGACACGCCCCACACCGTGTGGATGGCTTTTCCAGCGCGCGAGGTTCATCACAACTGTGTAACTGCAATTATCAATGAAAAATGCCCGAGTTCGGTGGGCAATTATTATAACACACCCGCCATCATGGCCGAACCGACGCCAGTCAATATCCTGCGCGGCCACAAGTCTCAGATTCATGCCGCGGCATTTGTGCGCGGCAATGACCGCCTTGCAACTGGCGACGCAGACGGTTACGTGATGCTATGGGATCTCGCCATCATGCGGCCGAAAGCCGTCTGGCGGGCGCATGAAAATGCGATTCTCGCGATTCGAGGCTGGGGTAGTGACAAGATCATAACGTGAGTGTTTTGACCGGAACGCCTGGCAAGTTTCTGTCTTGCTCATGCAAAGCACAAGTCACGGCCGAGACCACCGCCTCGTTGTATGGCAATTACGAGCGGAGGATGAAGAAATCCTATCGAGCGCGTCGCCGCTAGAGCAGACGGGAGATGCGCCCCCGCAGCCATGGATGCTACATGTGCTGGATGTCAACACGATGAATTTCTGCGCGTTTGCTGGATGCCCCAATACCCCAGGAGCCAGCGCGACATTGGCGGATGACAGTAGTGCGAGCATTCTCGTCGCCGTACCTAACACGCTGTTGGCCGAATCAGTGCGTCTTCAAACTCGGCCGAGTCATTTCAACTGTACGCTAAGCCGGTTCTCCAGATTGACATATTCGAGCTGCCAAGTCAGAAGCGTATTCACACAGTCAAACCCGGCGGGAAGCACGGCATGGCCATGACCCTCGCAATTCTCTACAAGGAAAGGCATCTCGTTCTCGTCGCTGGCTTTGAAAATGGCATGTGCTCCGTCTTTGTTCTGCGCGAGAACACAAATGATTGGATCACGACATATCGTGGCCAGCCACATTCACAGCCAGTCTTGTCACTAGATGCCGACTCGCGAGGCAAATATTTCATCTCGTCTGCCGCTGACGCTTTCATCGTCAAGCACCCCATACCTACTTCCTTGCAGACCATCATACCAGGAGTTTCGGCTGCAGAACAAGTTGCCACAGTTACCGAAGATCGTACACCCGCGCCGCAAGCGGCTCCTGCTGGCATCGGAGCGCTGTTTGCTGGCGAGCCGTCCTCCGCCGCCGGAGCCTCCGGTATCAGTACCGTTGACACCAAGGCCTGGGAGGATCCCATAAAAGTTGCCAACACGAAGCATGCCGGGCAGCAGAGCTTGACCATTCGCTCAGATGGCCGGATATTCGCGACGGCTGGCTGGGATTCGAAAATCCGCGTGTACGCGACAAAGTCCCTCAAAGAGCTTGCCGTTTTCAAATGGCACCAAGTCGGCGTCTATGCGGCAGCTTTTGCCCACCTAAAATCCGAGGCAGATCAGGACCTGACAACGCATAGCAATGAACATCGACAACAGGTTGCTTCTTCGACTCAAGAAGCTGCATCAAGTGCGCTCGTCGCAAGGCATGGCGAGGCAGTCGAAAAGACGCAGGCTATGACGGTCAAAGATAGGCGATTACACAAGGCGAAGCATACCCACTGGTTGGCTGCAGGAGCCAAAGACGGCAAAATAAGTCTGTGGGATTTGTATTAAATAGACGGATCAACAACAACCTTTTTCTTGCAGCTTCTTCTTTTCATCTCACCGACACTCGATCAGCTACACGTGCCGTATCAGCATGGCCATGTTATCCTGACAGTGTTTCTTGGCAGTATGGCGCAAGAACCAAACTACGCTCGGTCGCGCAGGACTTGTCCAAAAGTGCCAGCCATAGTTGGCTGTTTTACAGTGAGACGACCAAAATAACCTTATTGTAATGACTCCACAGCCAAGGACTGCTCATCTTGGCTCGATTTGGCAGCTCTCTAGGGCTCGGTGGACGCTAGCTTGTAGATCGCGCCCCTCGGCCGCTTGGCAAAAGGCAGAATGAGCGATACGAAATGTTCGGACCTGCGTCCAAATAGGAAGCCAGGTATTGGCAATCGATGACGGGATTCTCACGAAAAGACTTGTCGTGCCTCTAGCGTAGAGCGCATGTCAGGCCTCTTGTGAATTTTCGTGATAGCCGCGGAGCATCGGTTATGGTTCCTGTAATCACAGGTAGCCTCGCATTTACTCGTAGGCGCAGAGGAGCAGGCGCCATGTTTTTTTTCTCTTTGTACAAAGCAACAGACTGCGTTTCGACCAGTCTTTGAGACAAAGTACAATGTCACATTTTGAATCAAAATCAATTCATTCAATAGGCCTAACGCCAAGTATCTGTATGTTGCCCCAACGCCTTTTTTATTTTTCTCTTTTTTTCTAGTCTAGGCAGTGTACTTGACAGAAAAGACGCCACGCTCGATGCTATTCACCAGAATGTAACCACTCTTCAGGTACGGGTAAACAGACCAGGCGCCGTTAAACGTAGCTTGTCCGCCAACAGAATCATCCTCGGGGCGGACGTCAAAGAAACCAGCCTCCTTTAAGCTAGCACCAGTCGGATCCTGGGTGACGGACGAAACGTCGACAATACGCAGACCAGAGCCGTAATTAGCCTGGTATGAGAGCCCATTAATGACATACTGGTTGTGGTCGATGGACTTGGCCGGGCTCTTGTACAGGCCGGTAAAGACGGGCTTTGTCAGGTCAGAGACGTCGACAATATACGTCGTCGTCTTTTGGTCCGCGGCGGGCCCCGTCTTTGAGCTCTCGTCGAGCTCATCGTCGAGCAGCAGGTAGCGCATCTCCTCGTCCGCGATCCAGCCCTGGTGGGTGTACGTGGCGCCCTTGTACGTGGTGCGGGAGAGCTGCTTGGGGCTGGCGCGCTCCGTAACGTCGGCGATTGTGAGCGTGTCCTCGTTGTAGTTGAAGCAAATCTCGCGGCCTTTGTACTCTTGGTGAGGACCGCTGTAAATGACGCACTGCGCGTCGTGGACGTAGCCGTCCTCGCTGACGCAGCCCGACTTTTGGGGCCTGCTTGGGTCGGACACGTCGAGCATCCAGAGACCCGCGTTGCATCCGTCGGCGGGCTTGGTGCCAACGGCCGAGATTGTGTTGGTGGTGTCGTGGGCGACAATGTTGTGGCTGCTGCCAAAGTCCTTGTAGTGCGCGGTGAGATCGCTGTTGGTGTTGAATGTCTTTGGTTTCTTGGGGTCCAAGGTCAGGAGCTTGGTGAGGTCAAACACCTGCAAGCCATGGTTTCTCGCCTCGGCGCCAATGTAGGCGTGGTTGCCAATGACCTTCATGTCACGCCAGACAGAGTTTTCAGTCTGCGTCGGCAGACGGCCAATGTATTGTAAGCTGCCGTCCTTGAGCACCTCGACGAAAGCTGTGCCATCAGTCTGGCCAATGATGCCGAATTCTCGGCCGGTCGACGACGTCCAACCTGGAGAAGTTTTGGTCAGTTTAAAGTCCATAACTTCGAGTTGAATTAAGAGACGCACCCCATAGATCGTTTCCTTCACGCTGGCCACTGCCAGTGTCTTGGTGACGAATGAAACCGGCAAGGTCCACGTTGCGGCAGCTGTACTCGCCAGCCTTGCCGTTGGAGCACTTGGCAGCAGCCTGAGCGACGTAGCGATCCGCGTCGTACAAACCCTCTGCACGGTCGCTGTTTCTCTGCTGCGTTTTTAAGCTCTGCAAAGAAGCCATGGAAACAGCATTGGGTGCGCTATCGGCCGCAAGCTGCTGGGCCATGAACGCCGCCTTGCTGTTGGGCGAGACGAGGCCGGCGGCGAGGCCAGCTACAACTAGAGTAGCCACAGGGCCTTTCATTTTGGATGGCAGAAAGTTTTGTCTGTAGGAGAACGGATATCAACAATGATCTGTCTCTGAAGATACTCTTTGCTCCTTTTATACTTGTCAGTTTGGGGGCCGCTCTAGACTACACCAGCGCATCCCTGGCCACTGTCATTGCTACTCAGCTTCAATGGTACGCAATCTACAAGAGAGTCACTCGGGCTTCAATACGAGGCCATACCGTCCGAACTTGAGCTTTTCGGGCAGGTGTATGTTGAACTAAGGTGTCATCGAGACTGGAGGCTAACAAAGATTCCGCAAGACCGACCCATGGGCGTGGCGTTGTACTCATAACGTGATTGTGGGTTGCCAAGTAGTGGTGACGAGCCTCGGGGCAGTGTATGGCTATCTCAAACCTAATCATGTAACGTAAATAGTTGACTAGTGAACTAGTGATTTGTGCAATAGTACTTGGTTTCGTTGCATTGGCTCTAAGAGAACTACAACCCTCCACAGTATTTCTATGTGCGCCAGACAGACTCACAAAGTTCTTTCACAACACTCAAGTCCTACCCAAGTAAAGAAAAAAAAAAAAAAAAAAAAAAAACACTAACTACTGGTTGTTGTCGATATAGCAATCCAGCCAAGTCCGAGTGGCGCCCATACCTGCGATAGACACACGCCAAGCCTTTATGCTGGAGACGGATCAAGATACCCTGTCGGTTTTGGTCACACTCGCTTGTCGCAAACCCTCCATGACCTTCCATTTTTGTCAAAAGAGCCAAGGCCGAATTGCGGGGAGAAGTAGCATCACATCGTGTCGCGTGCTACGAATCAAGACTTGTCC